GAAAATTAATTTGGTAACCTAATTAGAAAATTAATTTATTATAATTATTAATTTAATTGTGAGTTTCAAGGTTGAATAGAATCCATTTTCAATTCAACATCTATAAATAATCAGATCACAAATTAAATACAAATAATATTTTTCTAAAGATTATAGACTATCGAAAACGATATAAGCAGAAATCCGATGTAAGAAACCAAAGCTGTGATAGTATGTAAAGGCATCAATTGCTCCATAAACTTAAATTCCTAGAGATTAGACTTTAAAACTCAATCAAGCCCTTCACAAATATAATGAATCCCATTTGAATTGGAATAACACAGAGGGAATTGAAAGTAATTAAATTAGTGCCGAAGAGCATCTATCCATCCTTTTCATTAAGCTGGCTTTTACCCATTCCTTTGACCATTTTCAAAATTGGTGTTTAGTGGCAACAATTGGAGTATCAACGTGAAAGTTCTGCCAAGGTCGCATCTAGTCAAATTATTAGGTCATACTTGCAATGTAAGTAAGATTTTTTAATTGAGATCCAACCTTATATAAATAAAACGTGATTCATAACAAGATTGACTAGTGATTCAGATATTTTACCATTCTATATCTAGTTAATTTATTGGGTCATACTTCCAACATAAGCAAGGTTTTTTAAATTAAGATCCTACCTTAGATAGATAAAATCATGATTTGGATCAGGATTTTATGATTTTATAAGTTTCGAATTATGATTATTTAAGATCCCATTAATTTAAAACTTTATAAGAGACTTGAATTAATTTGTCTATTTCGGATCGTAATATGATAAGATCCGGATTTTGATAACCAAGAAGATAAGTTGTTTTTTTTTTTTTTTCGCTGGTTAAAACAAAGGGTGGGGACAAGGAAGAGTACCTAGCGACCATCCCGATAAACCCTCGCCGGTGAGAACATAAAGTCCCTGCCAAATAAGTTATTGACTGGACCAAAAATAAGGCAGAGAATGTGAACAATTTAGTCCGCAACAAGAAGTTTTCCAAAGAGGGTCCCACAACAACAATATCTCAAAAGATTTCAAGCATATGTTCTTTTATGTCCTTGGTAGGTTTCACGCCAAAAAAAAAAAAATATATTATCCCCGATGACGTTTAAACTCAAAGGTATGAGACAATTGTTTGAACTGAGGGTTCAAGATTTAGGAACAATGATTTGTGACTATGAATGAACGGTGTGTGAGAGATCAATGCAAGGCTCAGTCTGGAGACACTGTAAAATGCTAAAGAAAACATAGATGAGGAAAGAGTTAGGGAATGAGAGAGAAGATACAAATACCTAGACTGTAGGGGTTCATCAGTTGAAAAGAGTGGCTAGTCCACTGCAATGAAGTTTTTGGCTCTTTGGAAGGTTTTTTATTGCTTGAGGAAGAACATAGGAGTTATAATTGCAAAGTTTACAATTGGTCTGTACGTAGGTGATTGCCCTTGCATTTATACCCACATGTGGGTGGTGAGTGGTCATCATGCCATCATCGCATGATCCCCAGCTTGTTAGGTTTTTGTTAAGAGAGTATTTAGCCGTTAAAGTCTACATTCTCTAGGTATAGCGTGATCTTTTAAAATATGATGAGGTGACGTCGAGACTTCTATCCAAGCTTGAGTACATTGTGATCTTCTATTTGTATGAGGTCATTCTGCTTAAGACAACACCTGGTATATTTGGACAACTCATCTACAAAAGAACTCAATCTATTTTTTTGACCTAATCTGGACTTCCACATGACTTGATATGGACAATCTGGACACCTCGATCTGAGGTGATACACAAAGGACTTTGGATTTCTTTATATGAAGCCAAGTGTGCAACTTGATGTCTGGATAGAGACCTCATCATTGGACTTTGTTAGAAACAAGATATGAAGATATCATTTCATTTATTTTCGGTATTATTTTTGGTATCATCAATCTCTATATCAAAATAAGGTTCAAGGAAAATATAAAATATACAACTTGTAAAGCGAATAATGCTTTATGGTCAAAGATGGAAAGTTGTTGATCTTTACGATGATGAAGAATTTTCAAGTTTTGATAAGCTCTGAGAATAGCTTTTACTAAGAAAGTTATGGTTGAGAAATTTTCTTGAATAAAGAAAGACTGAGAGTTTGATAAGCACTAAGAAACGCTTTATTAACAGGAAATGGTTGAAGAATTTGCTTGGAAAAAGAAGAAAGAAAACTGAGAAAAGTACCTTAATTTGTATGCAATTGGCTACTTTACTTATGAGTGGTGGTTTATGTATTACACAATTGAATACAAGTTTTTTATTTGCATTTATATTTTCTCTTAGTCAATAACTAGCACTTGTTTGTCAGAGGGCATTATGGAATAAAAAAAAAATATAGTTTTAACAGTTTGGAAAAAATTGAGAACCTATTGGAAAAAGTTGAGAGAGCAAAAAACAAAATTTATGTCGACTATTTTTTCGAGTTTAACGATTGGCCACTTGTATGGATAATTAAGTAAATTTATAATCCCAAAACAAAGCTTTGTTAAATTTTGGTTTTAAATTGATTCAAGTTTGAGTAAAAGTATCTTCAATCTTTACCAAAATTTTTATTCAAATTTAAATTTTTAGTAAAAATAGTCTAAAAACAAATTTCTATTTTTCACTTAAATGCATATCAAATGAAGAGAGACTCAATTTTTTACTCACATTTTACTCTCATTTTAATTTAGATTTGTATTTATTTAAATTTGAATTTGTCCTCCTTTAAATACGAGTTTCTCTATTAAAGTGTTTTATATCAAATTAAATTTTATAATCAAATGTTAACTTAAATTTGAAATAAAAGTATAAATGACCTAAAATTTTGTACTTTACTTTTATTTAAATTTAAGTACAAATACAAATAATGGTCGGAGATTTTCTTACTAGGAAATAGAAAGGCACTTTTATTCTGATTGTAAAAGAAAATCACAAACGTGAGCATTTGTCAAACTGTACTAGAGTTGGATTAAATTGGACTTCCCCATGTGTCTTCATTATTTTTGTAATTTGACTGATTGATTAATTTACGATCATCAAATTTAATCTATTTTTAATAGTATTGAAAAATAGTTTCAAAACTATTTATTTTTTTCAAAGAACACGAAAACACGTGCACGGCCACGGGCCACAAGTCACAGCCACATGAATATAATTAGAGTAAGGCATGCGGACCAAGTCAATAATGACGTGTTGCCAGCTATGTAATGTCCCAAGGCCAAGGCCAAGGCAAAGGCAAGGCCCACCCCTTTCTAATTAACGCGTGCCACGTTTCGCTCGCCATACATCTTTTTGGCCTCCGAATCCGGGCCGCATGCCACCGCCAGGCTGTGTTGGTGGTGTAATCATCTAATAATACTATTGGCCACTCACTAACTTTAATGTCATTTTAGACCTTGTTTCACAAAATAAAAATTCAAGTGCTCAAAAATTAAATACTATATTCTTAATTTAAAATTTACTTTAAAATTAAAAATATTAAATTTGATCAAATTGCTTGTATAATACTAAAAGTTAAAAGTTCAAAATTGAAACAATCACACTCATTTGTACCAATCACTCGTCATAACCGTAGCCACCATTGCCACCTACGGAATGTCCCCCAACATCCCCCCATAACTACAATATAACCACTGCCATGATGCCACACCACCTTAACAACTACGTCCTCACCATCACCCCAAAGCCACTATCATCATCTTCTACACCATCAACTCTCCCATTAAAAAACCTCTACCTCCGCGAGGGGGATGGATGTGAAATGTTGTAGGGTATAGGTGGTGGTGGGAGTGATAGTCTTTGCGGTAGAATTGATAGAGATGAACGTAGCGACAGTGACAATAGTGATGAAATAATGGTGTAGTGCAAAGTAGTAAGGTAATCGATAATAAAATTGTACTGAGGGATAATTATGGCGGGGGATGTGGTTATGACCAATTTAGTAACAATGATAAAGAATTGTTATGAAGGTAATAATTGTCGCGAGATAGTAATGACGTGGTATTAGAGATGATTGTAGCGACAATGTTGGTGTGGGAATGGGAGGATGGTATTGGCAACAATAGTGGCAAGATTGGGATAATAATAATGGGGACAATTGAGGTAGAGACATATGGGATTTTCGGTGTTGATCGTTGTTGTGGTGTGGAATGGTATGGTAGCAAATGTGATGATTACTTTAATTTGATAATAAAGAGGACGATAAAAATCTCAAAACGAGTTATCAAACATTACCTCAATGATATCTCACTCGATATGATTAATTTTATGGTATCACATGAACTAATACATCATTGGATCACTATATGAGGTTAGATCATTGAGTTCAAGTAAAGTTAATGCTCAAAAATCACTTTAGTTTGGTCTTATTCGAATTACGCAATTATAGAATCACTCCATAATATAGTTCGAATTACAAAGTTTCATTGTTAATATACCTCAATATTCTTACTTTGATTTTAACTTACAGAATTTTTGATTTCTGATTAACTAAATACATGTGATTTAGATGTGATTTTGTATACGTCGAATTTAAGTAGAAATCACAAGTTCATAAAGTACATGTTTAGGATGATCCTTGATGGAGATGAGTAAACTTTTAACTATATATATTTACATGGTTGTCACTTGATTCATTTTTGTTAATAAATGATATTGGAGAATCACATTGAGTCTAAGTTGAAAACTAAGAGAGAAAATTGAAAAAAAGAAAATATTTAGGTGCTAAATTTAAATAATAGTCTAAATTCAGGGACTCTTTTTTAGTGATCTTCCAGACAGAAGTAGAAAGCACCATCATTGACCAACTGGAAGAGCGACACGTCACCGGTTGTAGCATCTTCTCCAAACAAGGTCGGGCGAAATCTAAAGCGTTGATTACACGCTAATCCTTTGTCACCTTCCATTTTTCCATTTTTACCCCTCACCCCATGAAATTCCCACCTTATATTCTCTCTCCCTCTTCATTATACCCAGCCACCTCTTCGCCTTCTCCGACCTCGCCGGAGTACTCCATTTACCGTTGTTTAGGGTTTCTTCTATCAGATCGGTGACTGAGGATTCATTTTCTGCCTGATTTTTGAATCTTTCCGTCAATCGGTGAGCTTTTCTTGAAGGAAAGCGTCGATTTTTATCCATATTTGTTTGAACTTTGCGGATCTAGAAGAAGCAGCAAATCTTGGGTTTGTTTACATATTGATATATAGTTATAGATGTCGAATTCGTCGTCGTATTGGTGCTATAGATGCAATCGATTCATTAGGGTTTTGAACCAGGACTCGGCCACTTGTCCCGATTGCAATAGCGGATTCATCGAAGAAATCGATACTCCGACACGATCTGGACTTTCGGATTCCCGACGTCGTCTTTTCCCGGCGGCGGCGGCGATGTATATGGTCGGAAATAATCGCATTTCGGATAGTCAGAATTCAAGCCCGAGAATCAGGAGGAGCAGGAGGAACGGCGGTGAACGTTCGCCGTTTAATCCGGTCATTGTTCTTCGCGGAGCATCGGACAACGGTGTCGAATCAGGTAATGGGTTTGAATTGTACTATGACGATGGAGCTGGGTCGGGTCTGAGACCCTTACCGGCGACTATATCGGAGTTTTTATTGGGGTCAGGTTTCGATCGGCTTTTGGATCAATTGGCCCAAATTGAAATTAATGGAATTGGGCGAATCGATCATCCACCGGCTTCGAAGGCTGCGATTGAGTCGATGCCGACGATTGAGATTTTGGAGAGTCATATAGATATTGAATCACACTGTGCAGTTTGTAAGGAAGCCTTTGAATTGGGTTCGGAAGCTCGCGAAATGCCCTGTAAGCATTTGTATCATTCGGATTGTATTCTTCCTTGGCTTTCACTGCGTAATTCTTGCCCTGTGTGTAGACATGAGTTGCCAACCGATAATAGAGACTTGGGTGAGTCAAATGGAGGGCAAAATGAGCAAAATGTGGGGACTAATGATGATGAGACGGTAGGATTAACGATATGGAGGCTGCCCGGTGGTGGGTTTGCAGTTGGAAGGTTTTCGGGTGGAAGAAGAGGCGGAGACAGAGAGCTTCCTGTTGTGTACACCGAAATGGATGGTGGGTTTAGTAATAATGGTGCTCCCAGGAGGGTTTCGTGGGCTTCCAGGGGGACTGTGTCGAGAGAAAGTGGTGGATTTAGGAGGGTTTTTAGCAGTTTGTTTGCTTGTTTTGGTGGGGCGAGAACTTCAGGTTCAATTTCTAGTTCTAGTTCGGATAATAGGATAACTAGAAGAGGTAGTTCTTTGTCTTCAGTTTTTAGCACGGCCTCAAGGAGGCGCAGGGCTTTTGAAATTAATAATGAAACCCGAAGATGGTGATTGTCATTGAAGTTTTTGTAAGCATCTTATTCATTGGCTTCTTGAGGTCACCGGTCTAAACCTTTTGAGTACCGAAGATTGCTGAATACGGGGGCTATAGACTGGAAGCTATGGTTATCATTGATTGTATATACTCATAAGTGAGAAAGCGAAGGAAATGGTAGGTCAAATTATCACTGTATCTGGAAAATGGGCAGTTGTTTATGGTTATCAACTTTGCTTTAATGTGAACAAATGAGGATGTTGATAAACCAGAGGAAAGTGACCTTAAAGAAGAGACTTAGTGCTACAATTTCTTCTCGGAAGCGAGAAGGTACATGGTCGCACGTACAACTGTGATTAGAGTGCATGCTGTTCTTTCTTGTATTTTTTGCTGATTTGTAGTGAGATTAATTTTCTGTCTTTATATTGTCATTTATTTTTCAGAAATCTACAGTTTATTTGCCACTTATGAAGCTTGTTGCATGAATTCCCCTTTCGTTATTGATGTGGATTATTCTTTTGTTGGATACGTCAAACAATTGATAACAATTTTAGGGTCTCCAACATGGAAATTTGATTGGATCTTGTTATTGTGATTTTCAAACAATGAAATCTTTGTCACATTAACTTCATCAGTGAAGCATTACGATTAAGGAACCAACTTCATTGTCGTTTCTCTCTCTCTTTGGAAGCGATAAGTGGATGATTGGCGGATGGAAACACGCTTGGTGAGATCCTAAGTGAAATTATTATCACGGTACAAGATTATAGTGGTAGTGTTATTGAAGATAAGCCTAATTTAGCGTGTCGGAATATTCTTTTGTTCTGATAATATCCTGTCTTTGTTAATGGTTGAGCTACCTTTATTGTCTGGTGGTTAAGTTGTTATTGTCTTGTTAATCAAAAGCCCCATATGGATGCGAGAGGTTGGGTGGGATGATGCCAGCAAACTGCTGCAAATTATGGAAACTCACATATTTGATTGGCTTGAGTTTGGTAAGTAAGCAGATGTTAGGAGCTGCCAAAGTTAAGGTGTTACGTGGCATAGGAAATATAAATTTGTGGGCATTAGATGAGCAGCAATGTTAGTAGATATGACTTGCATTTGGGGTGTGGAGTAAATAATTTTTTCTTATCATAGAAAAAAGTTCGGATGGAAGTGAGTGGTCCAACGAACAATGAGTTTATACAAACTTGGTTTAACACAACAGTAGTTTATTAAATATGGTTCATACATAATTCAAATTCAACTATACAAAATTATAAAAGAATTAAGTATGGATTAAACAGATATTGATGTGGTATGAGCTCTTGTCAGCTTTAGGTGGTGCCTGGATTTGTATCGAATGAGAGATGGGAGAATTGAGTTTGGTGCACTTCTTTCGTTGAAGGATTTGGATTATGTGAGGGATAGGGATTGGCATTGTCATGGTAGCATAAAATTTTGGACATCTTATGAATTACATCTAAATTCAATATTCCTTGTTCCTACCCAAAACAGAGTGGTAGGCAGGCCAACCGGGCAGAGTCGCCCACCTATGTGTGGCTCCTTCTGGACAATGCCCATGTGGCTTAATTAATGATCATGAATGTTGGTGATTGAAAGTCAAATCTCTCTAACGCTAAGGATAATTCAAATAGTAATACATACAAGTTATAAATTCAGATATTCTGAATTTAAATTTTGATAATTGTTTAGAGTTTAGTCATGAGAGATTTATCACTTATAAATACTTTAATTATGACGTGGATGATTTGTCTTTATCGAAGAGAATTAGTCGAGGTTTACGTAAATTGACCACTATTGAAAATAAAAAAAGAGTCTCAAGTCTCTTTCATACTAAGGTGGGGGCTCATGTACTACCAAATATGCCCCATCCATGAGGTAGAGTACTGCTTCATTATGCATTGATGATTGAAAAATGTCGTATGAATCATTTTCAGCATCTGATTTTTGCAGATGTTCTTGCTTAAGCTTATTAGCAAGGTTGGCATGATTGTAAGAACTTATCTGAAAACTAGACAATGGAAAGCATGGTGCACATGGAGGATGTCCTCTTGACATTTGATTTTTGGCATGGACAAATTGATTAAAACAAGCCACATCTTTCATCTCTGCATAAAAAAGAATACTTTTTTTTTTTAACTTTAAGACAACAAATTAAGGACGAGATGACAATTAGGATGAAGAAGGCGACAATAACAACATATCTGCAATGGTTGCTACGCCGGATTAATTTGTCTCTTGGAATCTCTAAGAATGCTTCCTCAATTTGGGAAATTTGTCCTAAACTAATCCCAACAATGACAATTTATTATTATTATTATTTGTAAGGATCCATATTATGGAGTTAGCTGGAATTCTTTGATTTGGTTTTATCTGGTATATGCTGTATCCCCTTATTTGGTACTTACAAGAATTATTCCACTTTTTAAACAATGACTGTTTAGGAGGTGCTATCACTAATTTTCTGTAGGGTGCAACTTGGTTGGCTCTATCTCTACCCTTAATCTAAATAAGTCCAACTTGAAAATACTGGAATTATTGTGCATTTAGACAATGATTCTCAATATTTGGCTTGGAGTTGAGTGAGAATATATGCACTTTGACTTATATCGAGGCACCACTCAGGTAGTTAAAAATTTAGCTCAGATTGAGGGTTATATAACTTGAGTGGAATGCCTCAGGTGCGTATATGCTCTATCCTTCGGACAATTATTCACTCAAAGATAAAATTTCGTGATATTGTCACTATGTGGCCTGAAAATTTGGGTGTCTCTTAAAGTCTCAGGTGCTCAGTTTCCTTACTCGAGGATTAGTGACAATAAATATGGATACCTCATCGTTGAACCAAAAAAAAAAATTGTTATTCTATTCAAATATCTGCTTATACTCACAGAGTGAGAGAAGCTTTCTCTGTGTATGTATAAAAGATTGCCAGCATCGTAGCATTCTAACCTTTCTCCCTCGACCTTAGTCGTCTTCAGTTGATCCATCAACTATGGTCCAATTTGTTAACATTGTAAGTGATGGTAGTTGTTGCATTACTTTTTCATTGCTGCGCTATAGGCGTGATTGTGATATATGAGAATTGTATTCTTTACCCTTTGTTATGGAGGACATGGGAAACCTGGTTGATAGACAGTGCACAATAAATGATGAAATATATATCCCACACGAGTAGTTCAGAGGTGTGGGGTTCGACCAAGACGAATCATAAGTCCAAACATTAAGGGTTCTGTTCGACACTCGTTGGTGTCTCCAAGATTTAATTGATACCTGTAATTTGCAGGTGATTGTAGATATTTGAGATTTACTCGCATAGGGATGAATTTAAAGTAACCCTGCCTATCTTAGGGAGTTTCCTCGTTAATAAAAAAAATTTACTAAATGCACCTAAGTAAAATGATTTATGCCACCATAATATTGGTTCACCTGGGCCAAACTGGCCCACTTGGAAACGGACCATTCATGTCTGTGGGCTAGGCCATCCACTGGTCAATGGACCGTGTCAGATCAATCCTTTTGACGGCAGGGGTGGCCATGATGGCTCTAATGCACCTTTAGGTGAATTACAATGAGACTCATTTATTTTTCTAATGGGGAATTTAGCAAGCTAGTGAACCCAAACATGGCCAATATGACAGGCCCATTTCATAAGCCTTAAATGGACCAGCTCTCTCTACTGATAGGCAAAATTTTTGACCCATCTCACCCCATCGGGCTAATTCAGAACATGCGAGCCTTGACCCTGGCAGACTGACCCAATCCAGGACCTTATAATCCACCGAGGTTTCGGAACAGTCCATAAGCCACGAACCGTTTTTTGGGCTTTTATAGGTCTTTTTAGGTTTCCGTGAATAAATGTTGAGTAAAATATATTTAAATATTTATATATCACTTTTGATGTGTTCATCAAAAAAATATGAACTGAAATCTCACATCAGTTGCCGTAAAGTGTTCATGTTTATTGATAAACTTACATCTACTTCTCCAAGAGGTTATCTAAACCCTTCCCTTTAGCTATTTTACATAGCTTTCCCCCAAAATATTGTTCCAAGAGACTAGTTAAAAGGCTATTTAAAATAGATAATTCTATTTTCGCTCTATAGATGTAGCTAGCCAGTAAATCGCTAGCTGGCGCCAATCTCTCCCTCCTCGCCTCCTCCTCCTCCTCTTGAATGTATGCACTTGTCTCATCTTATAAGCGTTATAAATATGACCGCTAAAAAACTTAAATTTTAAAATTTTGAATTTCGTCACCGCTGTAATATGATCGTTATTAATAAAAATTAAAATTTTAAAATTTTGATGACGTGGCATAACACGTCAGCATGCGATGTCATCAATATGGTGATGACATGACATACTAAATAGTATTTTAGATTTTATTATTGAAAGTTAGTTGAAGTGATTAACTAAAATAGATAGCATTGTTGAAGTAAATTTGAAAAAATAGTTAGTTGAAATAGATAATACAATATTTAAATATATTTTGAGTAGCTATTTTACATAGCCCTCTTGGAGATGCTCTAAGGACTTGTTTGGATGAATTTTGGAGAGTTTGGATTGGTTTCTATAAATCCTTTCAAACTAAAACCATTCTTTACAAAGATGGAATTCAACATTTAATTCGGTTCATACCAATATTTGGTACGTAACATATACACATGTAAGATCCACGAATATATCATAATTATTAACAATTATTTTTCATATAAATAACTATTTTAGCCTTGATCAATTCAATTCATAAAACAGGTTAAAAGGTACAATTGTCTTTTGAATCTTTAATCTCTTGCCCATCAGGTCTTAGCCTTGTAACAGGCTAGATTTAGTAACTCAGGCTTCAAATGTTTACCCAAACATGGGTTTTGTGTGTGATTTGGACTATTTATCCCCAATTTATCTTTCAACGCCTCTCAAACCCACAAAACAAATAGTCCCTAAAGGTTAGTGCCTTTTGGAGGTAAAGCTTGGACTTATTAGTCTTTCTGATCTTGCGACTACAATATGATATTAAATAAAATATGTTCAAAATATGCAGATATCATTTTCAGCGTATGTTCACGAAAGGATAAGAAAAAAAAAAATCTGTTGTGCAGTCAAACATCTTTATCTTAATTTTTGTCCATGTGTCTTCATAAAATAAATCAAGGGGATGAGAAAAAAATTGACTAATGTGTCACATTACTCAATTTAATGAATTATTGAGGTGGGCAGTTATGGTGATAATATAATGAATTATTGGCGAACAATCATAGAGGCGTAGAGAATGATACATGCCTCCCCCCAGTACCAACAAAATGCAGTTCCATGCCCATTAACACCTCGTACTTGATGGTGGGTAGAGCAATTGGACTTCAATGGTTTCAATGTTGAGTCGATCGATTTGAAGAAAGGATGACTCATGTTGTTGGGAATTATACGTGTGAGAATTTTATAGGGGTCAAAAAAAGAAGTAAAAGTGTTGTAATGTACTGTTCATGAGTTTGTTCTCTATAAGCTTACATTTTTTAGTGAGTATAAGTTCTAATCATGTATACTGAGTCATAGATTACTAGGTTCTCTGTCTCTTAAATAAATTGTATCAGGGGAGATGGATGACTCATAATCTCTAGGTGACCTATCGAAAAAGTGGTATATTGTGCCGATATTAATGACGACTCTTAAGAAAAATTGATAGCTCATGATATTAAAATCATGAAAACTCAACTCTAAATAAGCGCATGTTACGGACTGGGTGCAAGGACTCTTAGAAGTGGTAATGCAATATTCATAGAGAATTACGAAATCTTAGTTCTTGGAAGAGCATGTTAGACGTGGTGCTTGGAAGAGTGATGAATCAAACTCAAAGGATAATTAAATCTGAAGTGGTCCACATATCTAAGGAAAATTATTGGATATTACGTGTGTGTGTGTGTGTGTGTGAGTCCCATACAAAAAAATAAATAAAAGTTTATAATATAACGTCAACGAACTCATTATTATAAAGTTTAAATTGTAGATATTTCGTTAAGGTCAATATACTCGTATTCATTACCATATCAAATACTAACCATTAACACAATGGACCACAGGCAAATATAAATCAACGGCTTTTCAATAAAAAGTAAAGGCTTAGTATACAAAATTTTTGTTATTGTTAATGTAAATATGAGTGGATACGTACAAATTTATATGTGCATGCAAAGAGAGAAGTGTTTTTCAATTTAAACCTTGACGCCTATATTATAATGAAACAAACTCATCGATACATCAAGACATCCCACAAACAGTGCAGTACTTGAAGGTGGATTAAACAAAAGGGGAAGATTATCTCTTTTTGCGAGAAAAATTGATGATTGATTTATTCATAAGGAATATCATAAAATAAAAAAGTTATTGCAAACTCGAGTGTCAGTTCTCTCAAAAAAACATATTCTCAATGAAAGACGCATATTTAGCCAAATAATTATATCTTTGACACTCATCATTGTCAAATGAAGGCACACACCATGGAATAAATCTAGAAGATGAAAGAAAATTGACAAGATAGGTCAATATTATTCGTCTAAGGTCATCTAAGATTAAGCTAAAGTGGATTCTTATGGTGAGAGTTGATTATTTCTCGAATACTAATATTATTGGGACATAGTTTTAAAATATAGTTTAAAAAATTTAATGCATACTAACTATCGAATTCAGAGTAAACTTAATTTGTTATTGTTTCTCTTAATTAATCAAAATATTATCATTTTGTATTGAAAAAAAACTATTTTCCAACAGCATTCATATTTATCGAATAATTGGAGATCAATCATGGAGTCTTAAAGACGAGGTTTGAAACATGTCTCCTCTTCCTAATCCCCCCCCCCCCCCCCCCCCCCCCCCCCCCCCCCCCCCCCAAAAAAAAAAAAACAAACAAAAAACACACGCACACACAAACTACAAAATTGATAATCAGACAACAGACTCGTACGAGAGAGAGATTAGCAGTCACCATCTGATTCTGATTGGTGTTTGGCTCCCACATAACAAACCGCGTTAGGATTAGTACGAATTAATCTCATCTTCACATCACCCTCTCTCATGCACCTCACCAGCAGTGACTTTGACGGTGAGATCACAACCAATTCCTTTGTTCTCTTCTGGTTGACTTAATGAGTTCTTTCATTCATCTAGATTCATGGTAGATGATAGAAACAAGCCTATTGTATTTATTTTTTTTTAAACCGTTATTATCCTTATCGACAAATAATTTTATAGAAAACAAGAAAATACAAAGAAAATCTCATGGATTTAATAAGTCCAAAGTCCTAAGTTGAAGTCTGTATGACTTTTACTCAATATATTTATGGAGTTGGAAAAACCAAAATTTTTAAATGTGGGCAGGTTTTTTAAGTACTTTACTTACCCAAATTAAAAAAATAATGTTTTTTTTGAAGTACACCACCCAATAAAAGAAGCAAAATTTTCTAGCAGTATGCTTGACCTAACTTCTCAAAGTAAAGGTTCATCCTTAAGAGAATTTTTTAAAATGAACTTTTTGAAATACATAACTGTTAGTAAAAGTATATTTTATAAGTGTTTTTAAACCAATGTTTATCTACGACAAGTCATGTCTATCTACAATTAGTTATGTCTATCTGTTCTAGTAGAATATATCTTTGTTTATTTTCTATCTGATAATCTAAGATATGTAAATTACACATGAAGTAGGACTAAAATACATATTTAATTGCAAAAATTAAGACTAATTTTGAAAAGTAAGGTGAAATTAAAAATCACTTCTGGACAAGTTAAAATAGGATAGTTTTGAGAAACTCCTTAAGAGACTTTTTTAGAATGAGCATCTTTAATATACACTTTTTGATAAGTTCAAATTTTTTTAGATACCAAATAATCTTATCTCTTTGAGAAGTGTTTACTTCTACGAACGGAATGGATTTTTGAGTTATCTGACTGGCACACCCATGTTTCTAGCTAAATCTTCACGAGCAACAAACTCAAGAATAATTTTTTAACTTTTCTTTTAAGTATACCTTGTTTTTGCTTTTCTTATCGAAGTTTGATTTTTCCTCCGACTTCAATCATATGGTGTATATTTATACATATATAAATGCTATTTTGCAATGATTGTTTTTTGCTGGTTTAAAAATTACTTAAAAACATCTTTCAATAACCATCTAGGTGGACCGGGTCTTTCATCAAAATTTTCAGAAAATGAAACTATTTTCTTGGTGTAGTATATTTTGCAGGTTCCTTCCAGAATGTGAGAGAAAAATGACAATTTTGATAGATTGGGAATGGAACATTTGGTTGGAATAGAGAGGGTATTGAAACCAGTTGGGGGGGGGGGGGGGAGAATAACAACAATCGTTGCATGAAAAGTGTGTCACATTAGCAACAATGATTGGATACTATATATCAATGTCAAGTGCTGTTTAAAGTTTCCGTTTTCAACTTTGATGCCTACAACACTTTGTTCAATCGTGGAAAAGCTCCAACCGACATTAAATGTTGGAAAGCGAGGGAGATAATGAATGGTTGAATGAGTTGGCAAAGCAAAATCAAACTTGTATATGGGATCAAACTAAAAGTACTAAACACTCTTTTTCTTAATTGGATGGATATATTCAGAATGATCCACTTAGTTTTTCAGACTCACTTTATGAGCGGATCGACCCAACCCGCATATACGACTAGATCATGATTATATACAATATGAACCCCAAAAACAAGACTTTGAAAAGATACGACTGTATCAAGATAGAATTTATGCAATCGACTTTAGAAATATTGGAATAAGACTTTGTTGAGTTGAGTATATATAAATAGAATCAGTTTTGAAAAAATACAACTTAGATATGATTTAAACTTAACACAGCTTATTCTCAATCATAACTTCTTCTTTTTTATGCTTTTACTATTCTATGTGGGGTTTTGGTATGTCTGTTTTGGGGTGGGGCGGGGGTGTTAAGTATTCTCAATCATATAGTTAACTGTAGTACAGTGGGCTGCCAAGGGATTGAAACTTACTATTTAGATGTCAATGGTGTGGTCCACATAGCAGTTGATGGGATTGCTTTCATGAGGTTGCCAAACAAGACTTCTTCTTATGTTAGACAGAGGGGTAAGAACTACGAAGAACAACCAAGTGAGGGCAACAGGACAGCTGTGAGCAGCGATATGGGTGCAGAATCAGGTCTGAAGAGACGAAATAGAAGAGAAGGGGGAGATGAAAACCGTATGTAACTGTAAGAATCACGTAATAAATATTTTATGATTTATAGAATTTTATTAAACCTAAATTCATTGACATTAAATGGCTTTCAAATTCATAGCATGTACATACAAATCATGGGTATAGAATGAAGTCAAAGCACAACAAAGTAAGTGGTTTTAATATTGATAGCCTTTGGTCTTATTATGGTTTCTCACCTAAGTTTAAGGCCATTTGTATTTAATTATAGTGTTTGGGACGTATAACAGAAACTAGTTGGGAGCATTAAGGCTGTAAATGCATTTATTATAGGCTCCCTAGTTTAATAATAAGAGAGAGAGAGAGAGCGCAACTTTTTTTCTTTTTTAATGGTCAGAAGTATTCGGACTAACTTACGCGCATTTCGACTAATTCCCTCCTTGGTTCAGTTAAAGACAGACTACGTCAGGACTAAGTTATTTATAAAGAATAAATCTCTTACGTATAAGTTTATTATGTACGTATACACACATATATTGGTCAATGACAGTTACTTCTACTGAGGTTACATAAAAAATTGTGTGCAGTTCAATTCTAATAAGCCAAACGAGACAGCTATAAGGTTTAATAAGCCAGTGGTATTCAATTGGCGATATTTATTCTTTATATAAAGGAAGAACTTTCATTTTGTGTTGCAATAAATAACAATAATAACATACGAGAGAACACAAAAACACACAAATCCAAGAAAATGAAAAACTACTTCTCTCCTGCTGATCTACAGCACTATAAAGCAAACATATAGCAATTACGTACATTACTTTATGTCAGTCTTGTAGATGTGTATTGAGTCTTGTACCAGTCTGAATAAAGAATATATATGGTTTAAAGGCAAGTCCTAAACCTAAATGCATTAGCTTTTTTTAGGTGATAACGTCACACCATGCCACACCTACATTAGAAGACAATTTAACTAGCAAGAAGATGAAATGAAACTCCTCACAAGTTTCTAGCACACCTATTTCATAATGCATGCTACAACATCAAGCACCCTCAATCAGATAAAAACATAACATTATGGTTCCAAAACCAAACATTCTTTGCTTTGTCTGACAATTTTTTTTTTTTTTGCTTTTTTGATATTTTTGTATAGAATAAAACATATAACATTGCTATATTTTTGTTTGATTGAGGGTGTAATTTAAATATTTTAAGCTTTCAAGGTATGAGATAGGAATTTACCCCCAGTTTGGTTGGAAGGAAAATAGGGTGGATGAAAAATGGAGGAATAAAAGTGGGAGAGAAGAAAAATCTTTCCATTGTTTGGTATGAAGGAAAAATAGAAGGGAAAGTAAAATGGAGGGAAAATGTTTTCCCTTAAGCCCACCAAACATTTTCCCCCCAAAATGGGCGGAATGGAGGGAAGCAAACTTTTTTGTGAATTGACTATTTTACCCACCACTCTTCTTCGTTGTTCAGAGAATGAGACCTAAAAATTTATTTGCCTCCCTTTTTTTTCTTTTCTCTTTTGGTACCCAGTAGTCCCATAATTCAAATCGTTTAGGTTTAATTTTTTTAATTATATAATTAGAACTTAACTTATTAAGTTTAGTTTTGTATATGTAATGGAAGATTTAATAATTAAATGTACATAATGAAAAAATACATATAATTTCTAGTTAAATACACATTAAATAATTAAATGAATAATTTCTTTATAAGTAAATTTTATTTTTGATTTAATTTCAATAAATGATACAATAGAACATAAATTTTAATTGTGAAATTTGAAATATTTAATATTTCATCTTGATCGGAGTATTTTTGGTCTAAGTATAATATTTTAAATTTAAAAAATAATCTAAATATTATATACTTATAAACTTTAGGGGGTTTAAATATTATATACTTATAAAAAAAATCATGTATTTTGATTTATTTTCTTTAATCTTATTCATGTAATTAGACGTGAGGGTATAATGGTAAATTTTGTATATATATTTTTCTTTTCCATCCAATACCAAACAAAAGAAAATGCATCCCTTTAATTTTTCATCTATCACACCAAACATAACGAGGGAAAATATATTTCTTCCAACTTCCCATCCAATTTTTCATTTTTCCTACCAAATGGATCCTGAAAAATGTTTTAAAATAAAAATACTTACTGCATATTTCTAAGTTACTGATGAGACTCTTCTGAAAAGCCTATGATGAAGACACGTGTCCTCGGGGGTTTCTAGAACAATGTTGCTCGGGTTCAAGCACCATCGGCAAAAGCGTCCTCTCCCCCGAGGTACCTCTCATATAGGATCACATATTCGGTGCATTATACAACGACACGTGTCCTCGGTCACCATGTACCTCGGAAACACACCACCCCTTGGTCCCCCGAGGTGAGCCTTTCCTCGGTGCCGAGGGTCACTCCATCCTGGACGCTTCCTCTACTCACGGATAAAGTTACTGACGTACGGGACATCAGCCTATGCCAGTCTAGACTATTCATCATGACCTCGTCTTACACAAGTAATGTCAGAACATGCTGGAATACAGAAGTCATAGCCAATACGTGACGGACGCGTGGCATATGATATCACATCAAAAACAGGCAAACCGCACGCTATTGCTGACATTCGCTTTGGGAAGCAAACAATTAATTGCACCCTTCTGTTGACGAGACCGCATTCAATGCGGTAAGGTTCGGATATGAAAGGCAATAAATGCTCCTATTACGGAGCATTTATTACATCCTTCCCGAAAGGAGCATATTGTACCGTCGGCGTCCCGACGACTCAACATTGATTGCTCGGGACCCCGAGCAGTCAATTAGAGAAGACATTCCTCGTCAAATCAATACACACGCTACCAGTGCCTGATGATCACCTACTGACCACACTGACAGCAATCATGAGCTTCTGAGGTATAAATACTCCTCCCAAAAGGCAAAGCATGTATGCAATCACAAACTCACCACTACAAAATATCCTGATCAGTGTTTTCTCCTTCCTCTCTCTCATTAAAAGACTGACTAGACCGTCGGAGGGGATACGCCGGAAAACACTCCGGCGCCCTTCTAACTTATTCTCTTTTGTTCCAGGAAACACCTTTCGCACGTACAGGATCGTTCCTCCTTTCCCAGGATCTTCCTTTACCGTTCCAGGTTGCCACCGTTCCTTGTAGGCTGTTTCGAGCAGTGTGTTTGGCCACTCAACCGGCTCACCCAAAGTTCACCAGGGGAGAGATCTGTTCCCAATATTTTATATATCGTGCAGGATCAAGCCCGCACAATCTGGCGCCGTCTGTGGGAAACGAGTAGTTTTCCTAATCTTTTCTCTATAAAAGAACAGTGACCATGGTGAACACCAGACAGAAAGGGAAAGGACCCTACCAAAGGAGTCATGAGTTGCAAGCTCCCTGCCATCACGGGGGAGGGATCGGACCAGTACGATTAAAAGTGCCTCTACTCGGTCAAGGGGGGTAACCCCCCAAACCAGTATGGGGATCAGGTCAGGAGGATCAGCCCCCTTGGCCCGTCAGCTGGCAGAGGTGATAGAAGAGAAATTTGGCGATAGATTACGTCAGCTGGAGAAGGACAATGTAAACGTCCTTAGCCGGCTCGACGAGTTTGCTGCCTCAGGCGGAGGGTCGAGGGATTCATTCCTCTCCCGAGGACTCCCCGTCCATGAGGCGGAGACAAAGGATCTAAGGAACCACCTGGATCACAAAGCAGAAAGCTCCAGGGCCCCGAAGCGACCCAAAGCCGGCGAATGCCATCTTGACAACCATTCCAGGAAAGCAAGGCCATTGGCCCTGGACGACCTCCGGCGAGGTTTATCCAGACGGAGGAAGGGAGATGAATCCGAGGAGGACTCAACCCAATCTACACGACGCCCAGGAAACGAGGGGCTTACCGACGAACCCAGAGACTTCAGGAGGCATCCCGTAAGGGAAGAAGTAGATCTCAGAGCCCGATTGGACTCCAGAAGAAAGGGTAAGACGATCCAGGACGAGGCCGAGGACGAAGTCATGCAAACACCCTTCACGAGGGAAATCAGTGAGATGGATGTCTCAAGAAAGTTCGTCGTGCCACGGTTCAAGACCTATGATGGGCGATCTGATCCCGATGCCCATATCAGACAATATAAGCAGATGATGTCCCTCTATCATTCGGACCAACGGTTTCTATGCCGGGTGTTCCCTATGAGCTTGGGGGACTCTGCGATGAGGTGGTTCGAGGCGCTTCCCCCAAACAGTATTGGGTCCTGGAAAGAATTGACAAGGCAGTTCCTAACCCGATTCATCACGGGGAGTAAGCGCCCCAAGGACATTGGATCACTGCTGACCCTCAGGAGGAGGGAATCCGAGACTCTTCGCCAGTACGCCATCCGATACTGGGAAGAAGTCAATGAGGTCGAGGGATGCTCGGAGGTCATGGCAGCAGCATCATTCCGGCTCGGCTTGGCGAGGGACACGGACCTGTACCGATCCCTGACCAAAAAGACTCCCTCGGATATGGGGGAACTGATGGCCCGGATCAACAAGTACTCAAGGGTCGAGGACGAGATGGGGAGCAACAAAGGCCGAGCCCTCCAACCCAAGAGAAAGGAAAAAGAGCACGAAGATATTCCCCGGAAGGGATTGCTACCCCATCCAGGGGGTTCGTCCAGAGGAGTTCACACCGTCTTCAAGGAACCCATCTTCAGGTTGCTCCATAAAATCAAACACGAGCCGTTCTTCAAATGGCCGCCCAGGATGCAAAGCGACCCCTCCACCCGTGATCAAACAGTAAGGTGTTCATATCACCGGGATGTCGGGCATCGCACCGAGAGCTGCAGGGTGTTCAAGTCATTCTTGGAGAGCTTAGTCCGAGATGGATACCTGAAAGAATACATAGAGCCTAGGCCAGAAGAAAAACGAGCCCCTGCCCCGACCGAGGAACCGAACAACGTCATAGACGTCATCCATGTGTGTCCACTGGAGCGCCCCACGTCCAAAGAGCTCGAATCCGACCTCAAGAGGGTAGCTTTTACCAGAAAGGTAGCCGA